CGAACACGGCCCGAGTCGTAGTTTTAGGGCTAGATCTAGCACTAGTACTGTTGTTGTTCGCGCGAGGAAATCACAACTTCGTTCCCTACATCTGTCTCATGTAATTCAGTGTATGGGTCTGAATAAACGCACAGACCAGTTTTTATATTTTCACCAAACACTCACACATGGATACAAATCAAAACAGAACACTTTGAACTTTTGTGAAAGGGGCCAGTAGTCAGTGAGTTAAACATGTTTTGACAATGTTTAATCATAACCACGTTAATTTGTATTTTAAAAAACAAGAAAAATTTATTTTTAAAAGATTTACGGCTATTCATTCACGATTACCCTGGTTTCCGTCGCTCGTATTCTACCGGGTGAACGAACTGGAATTTGCGTCCACGGCAACGATCTCACAGTAATTATCCAAAACGAAGTTTTGAACAGTTCTAGGCCATAGTTTTATCACTTCTCTTCATTTTCTAACATTTATTGTTAAATTAAGCTTGAAAAGCGCATTTTTCATGTCTGTCGGGCACCGGTTGGACTTTGCGCAGGTCGAACAAACAAGACCGTGAACAACAAAATGAGGCTAAATCTAAGTCTTAAACGCGATTTTCTTCCCCAAAGGAAACATGTAACAAAAAAATAATATTATGAAGAGAAACTTCAAAATAAGGATAGCGAACAAAGCATTCCAAAAATTTGAGAATTAGGGGGGGGGGCACTCAAATACAGACAGGAAGCATAAGACAATGATTATTTATTTGACAATGATGAGATTCCAGAAGATATGATGATTTAAAGTCAGTCTTTATAGATGATGAAGATGATTTATAGACATGTGTGTCTCCACACCTCTTTGATTTAACTTCAAAATCCTTGGAACTGTTTGTGGTCAAGCCTTCTGAATGGCTATTCCATGAATATAAGTAGTCAGTTACCAAAGATAGTGAAGAAAGAGCAGTCTAGACACAACAGAAAGATGTTTCTTTTCGAGACTGCTGTTTCATATTATGTAGAAAAGAAATCAAATAAGGTTTGTGCAGAATGCGAGAAAGAAGGCCAACAAGGGACTCACTAATAAAAATACAATAAGAAAGAGACAAATGTAGGTGTGATACATTCAATTGACATTTTTTAAAAGCCTAAAACATCTACTACTTACTGAAAAAAAGAGGTAAGGGTCGATATATTCTGCCGTGGTTAGTAAACGGCTAAAATTGTTAGTTCCAATTGAAATTAACAAATCAGATCCATAATATTTATTACAAATAATTGCTGTTTTCCCCCAATTAAGTTATTTCTCAAGGTGTGTTATTTAATTTTTTGTCTGTAGGTTAAGGTTAAAATGCTCGAAGAGGATTACTTCAGTGTGAGATTTATGGAAAAGAGCAGCCCCTGAGACGTCTTTTCCAAGAGCAATGATGTTGGTCTAATCACAAATAAGGGATCAACAGACTTCTTCACCTGAACAATTACAAAAGGCCTTACAAGAGGCACTAGATCACAAGGCCATTTCCATGTTTCAATTTTTAATCTCACATTCTCCCACTAATTGGTGTAATAAATATATTTGTGAAAACCGTGCATTAGTCGGCTTCATTTAATTGTCTCCCCTTTTCACAAATTCTTGAATTTTGTGCTTATTTTTGCTTATATATGCTCTGAGTATATCAGGATGGGTCCTGCTTTCAGTTTGGAAGACATTATTGCAGAGATAAGCAATTGAAATCACTTTAAAGTGAGTAAATTGAACTTTTGTTAATTAAATGTTTACACCTGGGTACCTGTGATTACCGGCCCTTTATTACATAACGAGACAGCTCTTGCTCATGAGACGAACATTTCTGAAATCTACAGGGTTTGAGCTAAATTTTGATACCATATTCAATACTGTGCATTCATTATGAAAAATTGCCAAAATATGCCATTTGAAGTAGATGCCAGCATTGCATGTATGTTTTCCGTCATAAGGCCATTAAGAAAATATTAAGGTAAGCCAAGGTCACTTAAGGTCAAACATAAAACATAATCCTACCTTGCTGTACACCCCCGGTGACATTGCTCCAAGACCGGGCACCCGCACTGCTTTGCCCCCCAGATTGGGTGCTGGTCTGAAATGACAAGAAAACGTGGATTTATAATGAGAGTGAGAGAGAGAGAGTGAGAGTGAGAGTGAGAGAGAGAGAGCAGAGAGACAGGGAGGGAGGGAGACGGAGAGAGGGGGGGGAGGGAGAGAGAGAGAGAGAGAGAGAGAGAGAGAGAGAGAGAGAGAGAGAGAGAGAGAGAGAAAGGGGGAGAGGGAGGGAGGGAGGGAGGGGGAAAGAGAGAGAGAGACAGAGGGGGAGGGGGAGAGGGAGGGAGGGAGAAAGAGAGAGTGAGAAAAGGGGGGAGGGGAGAGAACTCTAATGAGGCCAGCGGTTAATATATGTGTATTAGTTTCTAGACCATATCCCAACATTCAGACATGCCAACCACAGAAAACCAAAATGAGTATTGTGAAATATGAAAATGTGTATTTTCAGGGGAAAATGTGTATTCTCCACGACCGACCGACCAACCAGTAAAATGTTCAGGTGTCCAGCAATATTTCCTGAAAAAATTTACTTGCTCACCAGCTCGAAAAAGGGAGCACACACGCGTACAATAAACATGTGTCCAGTCAACAACATGTTAGTGTTCAATGTCGTACTGGGGTCTTGTTTGACTTAAGTATTTCAGTCTGTTATAATATTTTCCTCTCATTATTATTATAAAAAATTAATCCTGTTTTGAGCGTTCGGAAGGGCCTAGAACAAGAACTTCGACTATTAAGAACCAGTCAGGGTGTCATGATTCATATTATGAACTGACAGACTCAAATTATTGCTCAAACTCAGAGAAGAGCAATAACTTGAATGGCTAAAGTAAACTCGTGCACTGTGAGAGTTGTAACAACTGTGGGAGGGCAAGATGCAGTGACACTGAAAATGTGCCCGTCTTGAACAGAAAGCTACAACATATACTGTAGGTATAATTTACTATCACCCATCCAATGACACGCGAACATTTTATTTCAATAACACAGACTTGCAAAGTATGAAGGATTCCGATTCCTCACACGGCCTGCACTATCGCGCGCTTTGCAGAGAGCTCTAGCCTAATCAAAATTCTGAAATTTGCCTCCAAGTTTTTGCCCTCTAGTGTTGCCTTCACACCTCCTCCCTCCCCCCACCCCCGAGTGTATCTTTTAAAAAAATCAATAATCCCCTCCCGTAGTCCTATACCTGGCAACGCCGTTACTCCCACCAAACACTGTCTTTGCTCACACGATGCCGCATTTATTTATGACGCGAATGCGTGCAGGTTCATCGACCGGTCACGATGGCGAGCCCGACAATCTAAAAATCGGACGAGGCTTGTATTTTCTTTTCTTTTTTTCCTACAAGTGACAGCACAGAGACGAGTTCGAGAAATTTTATTTGCACGGCAACACAGCGTTTACCCTGCACAACCTGCATGTCGCAAATAAGTTGTGTTATCAGTCTACCGCTGGCAAACTTCTCGGTGGTAACGAAAGCAGATCTTGATTTTCCCGATCAAGCCTCGGTGTCATATACACTTCCGTCTGCCGCCATAGCCGCCTGTTCGCGTGAAAGTGAAACGTACTCTCAGATGAGGAAACCCTAAACGAATATCACAATCACGACTGGCAAAAATGAACTTACCGACCTATCGGACTTGGTTTTCAAATATTCCAGTTCCGCGATACTGAGACATGTACCATGTACTATTTTGACAAAAGATGGGACTTGAGATAATTAGGTTTACTCGCCCAAACTGGATCTCGTATTTTTCGCATTCCAGGATGCGGATTTTTTCATGAAAAGTCGTATTGGCGTATTTTCGGCAAAAAATCGTACTAAAATACGTAAAATCGTACTAGTTGGCATCTCTGCAACATTGACTCCTATTGCATATTAAGCCTCTTACATGTTTGGGCACTGCCAGTGTACATATAATGTCAAATCTTGGTTTGCCCGAGTAAAAAGAAGCGCATCGACACAAAAATGATAATTTAGAACAAGAGAAAAGCAAAACAGGCAGACAAAGAAAAAAAACCATAACAATCCACCAATGACACCCTCTAATCATCTGGGTAAGGGGCGCAAAAAGCAAGACAACAACAGGGGAAAAGAAAAGAAGACCTACAAGCAGCGCCCTCCAACCGCCACCCATGACATCAATTCTATAAGGTGACAAACTACTTAAAGACACATCATCCATCTACCTTGACAGCCGCCTGTGGTTGCTGTGCCTGCTGTGATGAAGGCGTGGCCTGCGAAGGCTGCGACGATGGCGGCTGAGCTCCACCTCCACTCACCTCCTTCTTCTTCTCTTCCTTCGACACCCATCCTGAAAACAAAACAAAACAAGTGCCTGATTTAAAATTAATTTGAAGATTTTGTGATCCCCAGCAAATTTACAGTGAACTGACATAATACCACAACCTGATTTGATTCCGTGTAGAGAAGCACATAGACATTTTGTCATATAAAGCCAGAAACAAAGAAAGAAAGATTGAAACAATGAGGGGAAAGACAAAGACCAACCCCTACCATAAGCAATCTCCACCGTCACACGCCAACAACTTCTTGCTACAAAAATTAACAAGTTTACGAAACAAATCAGGTCATGTTCTTATCCAGAAAGCTAAACAAAGCTGGTCACACTGACCATCACCATAAAAGTCTGATAAATTAAGCATAATATAATATAAAAAATTATCAGAGCCTGTTCCATCCTAACCAAAGAACCACAAACCAGCAGCAGTCAACAAAATTATCTTTACTATAGCAACACCACAGCTTTTTTAAAATATAGGCAATACTAACCTACAAACAAAACAGATGTAAAGATGAATGTTTCTTAAGCAAAATACTTTTTAACTATGAAAACTGAATCAAATACTGAACAATAACATACATTTTTTTATTACAAGATAATTTAAACATTTATGAATGGAATGAGCTGAAAATTGGTAGGATACATTTGAGGCAACAAAATAGCGTCAGAACAGTGATCCAATACAAACTTTTCACAAACAACACCTACAGAGTAACCAACCACCTTGTGACTTCGATTTTCGCTTGATTCACAAATGGAAACCTGCAATGTGAAACTTAATCTTTCTTCTAATTTGTCACCACTAGATCTGCATGTGAGCCTCAACCAGATTGTCTGAAAATTTTGCGCAACACACACACCCCCCCCCCCCCCATGAGCTTTTGAGGGTGTCATAAGGAAGGACTTCTGATTAACGAGCGACCACCCCAACAATCACAATAAAGAAACCTAACCCTAACCCTACCCCAAAAAAGAACCTGCAACGCGCCTCATGTAAAAAGGCCAGCACAAGTCCAAGATGAAAAAAATATTTCAAAATTTTTTTAAACACACTCCAAAACAAACAAGGAACATAATATGGCCTACATCTACATTGCTATAATAGGGTTTGATACAATAACACAATAGAATTGGAATATGAATCCTTCATATAGATCTAGTAATCTAAATCAATCTAGATCTAAATCAGAGCTGCCAACCCTACTAGCCACAAAAGTGTAAGATCTTAGCTTAAAAAGTGTAAGATTGTAAAAAAAGAGTACAATATAACAAATATCACTATTTCGTCACACACGCAATTAAAGCTTGCAAAAATTAAAAGAACACACCACCACGCAACACGAACTTGGCGGAAGTAGGCCTAAACAAAGGGAAATTAGGTGAAAACCAATCAAGGGAAGTCACTGTGATGCTGTTTGTGTTATCGTCCAATAGTACATTTGCTGTCATAGGGGCCTATTAATAATAGATTGGACCCCTAGCGGTCACGAATCGGAACAGCAAACAGAGCGAGATTTTGTTTTGACGATCCATCGGATCAAGCAAAAAGTTGTACAATTCGGCAAGTGGTGTAAAATCTTACGATCGCTGAAAAAGCTTACAAATATGCTTTTTTGGTGTAAGGTTGGCAGCTCTGCTAGATCTAGATCTTGTAGAACAAGCGAATAGGAACAGGCCTCGAACTAGAAATCCGCATCCGATTCTGAACAGAGGGACTCAGCTGAGTCTAGGTTCTAGATTCTAAATAAATATATAATTCACGGACCTGATGAAATGCTTTTTACCAACATTATTATTACAGCACAACCTTTGATAGGGTTTGACACAATAGAATTGGAATATGAATCCTCCATTGAGGTCTATAATGATCTATATAAATCTACATTCTATTAGAACAAGTGAGTCGGACTTGAATGAATCCACACGATCTGAACAATTGAGTTAGTCAACAAACGAAATTCAAAATGGCCGCCCGAGCACGAAACTGAAAGTAGATAATTTAGGTATTCGTCCTTTTTCGTATTCGCATTTCTACTCAAGTTCCGACAGTTATGTCTGAAACGCCGACGTCGGCAGTCGGCGCGAAAACGAAAGTGCCGACAAAGCCGACGGGAGAATAAGGGGGCGCTGGCAGTCGGCCAGGCCTCGCACTACGCGGCTCGCGGGTGTCGGATTTCAGACGATTATCGGCAAATATGCAGGTCTACACCACATTTTGGGGGAGTTTGGGCATTATTTAGACGTTAACAGCCCCTCCAAATAAAGAGTTGATTAATTAAGGAGCCATTCGGCAGGTTTTGAACTCGCTACTGCCCAATCCACTTTCTTCCACAAAAACCTGACTGTCACTGACGATACCAGAAAAGTCTTTTCTCAGTGGGTGTCCAAATTTCTTCTGCACGTGTTGATGTACAATTCATAACGCTGAGGCAAAAAATGCTACAAATTAGCATGCTACACAATGCTGGGATGGGTCCATCATGTTTTCACTCTCTGAGCGCAGGAGCTGTGGTGCTGCCATTTGACACCTTTCCCATCCTTCAGATTCACAAGGAGGTAAATAAAATTAACATTTTTTAAAGACAAAAAAAAATATTTTTTAAAAATACAATAGACATGAGGATTGCTTACCCGAACCCCCACTCGGGACAAGGCTGATGCTGGGGTCGTTCCCACTGTTCTCACTCTTCAAGCTGGGTAAGTTGGCCGGAGGCGGCATACGCCGCGAGTTGGACACTTTGCCCAAACTTTGAAGCCCATATTGCCGAGTAACTGAAAAGGAATACACAATGAAAGAATAAACAACATGGTAAAAAAAGTAAAGTTCCCGCATCCGATCCGGACATCGGGGATAGCCTTGTCAGTGAGACAATCTCCTGGGCCCTCGGCATATATTGTGGTATGGGGGCCAGTTCCTTTCCATGCTGCCTTTACTTCCCCAACTGAAAGTCAGGTACCTATTACTGCTGGGTGGGCAGGAGGGGGCGAAAAAATTGTCCGAACCGAGGCTCGAACACAGACTTTTCCCTTCGGAGACGAGCGCACTATCCGCTCCGCCACCGCACCCTTTAGTACATAGTACTAGCAGAAAACACAAGGTTGCAGTTTGTATCCTGGTAAAATAAACAGAAATAGACTCCTCACTGGCAGAGGAATGCACAAAAATCAAAGAATGAACAGCTAAAAATTAGCCCATACTCTAGTTACTACTGACACTACAAACAACTTCAGACCTTCTCACAGGATATGTAACTGGTTTTGCTTTTTTTTTTATAAATCAAAAGCAATTGCAGAAATCAGACATCCTGCTTGTGGTAATGAGTAATCATAAACAAAGCTAAATAGCTGTTGAATAAAGCTTAACGAAGAAGATAGTGTCTTTTTGTGAGAAATCAAAGAGCAAGATGGGTGTGCAAATATGTGTGAGTCAGCATAAAAGTTGAAAGGTCTTCATGACCAAAAACAGAAAAGGAGACCCATACTCTTGGAGATAATCGAATATTTAAACACGGATGAAAATTGTTTGTACTATGAACAATACAATGGCTACAGAATTTTTTTTTAAAGTGTAGGAATCACAAGCTTTATGCTGCATCAAGGAAGTCATAGAAGTGGAAAACATTGACCACTCCTGGTTCCTTAGAAGACATAACAAATTTATACCACTAGTCATCTGGATTTAATTCTTGTCCATAAATTTAGCCACAAGCACAGCATGGATTGATATTCAGGAATTTAAAAAGTACAAACCTAAACCAAATTTGCAAAAAAATACTTTACTTGCTGCTTGCACACCATCAATTAACTCTGACCTAGTCTTGAAGATGAAAGCAAGCTCTCACAAAATAAATGTAATCACCAAAAACCAAAATAAGAAGGCAGCAAATTCCACTTTATGCGAATTGGATTTACAAGTTGTCCAAATGATGGGGATAAGGAAGGTGACTATCGAAGACCTGGGGTTCAAGCACAACGTGAGTGGGCCAGAACCAGACAGCAAGTCCACTGACACAGACTGACGAGACAGCTGTCCTGGCTAACGAGCTTAGCTAAAAATTAGTGCTGCAGGAACACACCCCCTGAAAATGAAAGTTTTTCTTAAAGAGCCTTTAAAGTTTACAGCTTTTCTTCACTCAGGCCATGACTGCTAATAAGATTGTTAAATTTTTAAAATTACAGTCAAACCTGCCTTGACGGCCACCTGTACCAAAGGACACTTTCCACCACCACCCCCCCCCCCCGCATTTTTTCTATATAATTTAACTGTGTAAAACGAGCACCTGTCCAACGCAGCCGCCATAACTTAACACACGACCCCTATCACACTAAGCAATAACACCTGTCTTAGACGGCCGCCTTAGTGACTCCATTACGTTTTGTCAAAAATTGTGAATTGTCCCCTGGCGTTGTGGGCGAGCCGTCGTAATTCAATCACTTGTTGTTAGGTAGTCCCTGCTACCGATCATGTTGCGTAGGCCCCTCCCACTGTTGACCAATAACTACCAATTTTCAGCTGCTGGTGAGGTAAGCGTGTGATCCCTCATAACCCTTAAGCCCCGCCCTGAACTCATACACAAATCGTTAGTGAGATGAGTGCTCACTGTTTACCCAGTCTGTAACAAAGTAACAAAGGACGTCAACATGAACTTGTGACAGAAGCATCGCTCGTTCTCCGAGTGGTGGCCACCCGTGTGTTTGTTTTAACACGGCACTCGATCTTCCTCGTCTGATACATTTCGTTTTATTGTCACCCTTGTGCAAAATCAGCATAAAAATAAAAATTTCAAACAACAAAAGGTAAATTTTTACTTTCACTCCCGCACACAGATGCACTGTTTCAGGGGTCAAACTGCTGTACTGTTTGCTGCAGATCACACATAAAGCCACTAAAACTGTCGCAAAGCAATTATTTTCAAGACAATTTCAAATCTAACTGTAAAATATCAAACTATGGGTAAAAACAGGGGGGGCATGCCCCCCTGTAACCCCCCAGATTTTCTTTTACCCCAGTGGGGCAGGCCCTCCTGGAACCCCCCGATTGGTCCAAAGCATGTCTATCTCGGTTAAAAGCAATCAAATATTTCAAAAACTATTAATTTGTGACGGAAATGAAGTTGATATTCGTGTTCAGCGTATCAATATTTAGTACAAAATAGACAATTGGTAGCTGAGTGTGAGACGGGAGGGAAAGTAAAAAAATACCCAACAAAACAACAATGCGGCTACTTTCGATTGGGGCCTCAGATGGGAATGGTTTGTTTTCTTCATCTTGATCAGTCCTGCCTAAGACGGCCACCTGTCTCCTTGACAATGGGTGGCCGTCTTACACAGGTTTGAATGTATGTACCATTACACTGACATAACCATAGGTCATCATGCATGTGAAAACCATAGATCATTATGAGAGAGGGATGCAAAGGTAGGTCGCTTTTATTTTGGTCAGCCTAGGCTATTGATGTAGGGATGAAATGTGCAAAAATATGTCCATTTTAGTGTGAAGAATCTAGAGCCATCACTGAGTGGTCTCAAAAGAACTGATCTTTACTATTATTATAATTGAGTCACGCGTCCAATTTCGACAATATAACAGTACAACCATAGGCCTAGGTAACACATCAAAGACTCCTAAGCCCCTAAATGGAAGTGAAAACAGTATTGGGTATTTTTTTACTTTCCCTCCCGTCTCACACTCAGCTACCAGTTGTCTATTTTCTACTAAATATTGATGCGCTGAACACGAATATCAACTTCATTTCCGTCGCAAATTAATGGTTTTTGAAATATTTGATTGTTTTTAACCGAGATAGACATGCTTTGGACCAATCGGGGGTTCCAGGGGGGCCTGCCCCACTGGGGAAAAAGAAAATCTGAGGGGTTACAGGGGGGCATGCCCCCCCTGTTTTTACACCCATAATTTGATATTTTACAGTAAGATTTGAAATTGTCTTGAAAATAATTGATTTGCGACAGTTTTAGTGGCTTTATGTGTGATCTGCAGCAAACAGTACAGCAGTTTGACCCCTGAAACAGTGCATCTGTGTGCGGGAGTGAAAGTAAAAATTTACCCAGTATTGATCAAGCAGCTTTGGTTCCACCAACTGCCAACTGAAAACAGGAGGGTCAAAACCACAAGTACATTTTGTTCAACATCTCAAAAGCAAAGGTAGCAAGTGCAAGGGACATTTTTTTAAACTTTGCTACAAATATATTTTCATTATCATTTTAAAAAATAACACAACATACGAAGCTTACCAGTTGACTTCTGAGTCTCGACAGTCTTTCCTTTGTACAATGTATTGATGTCTATTCCCTTGTATTTGCTTTTGTTCTTCTCCCCTTTACTGCCGATCCCCGGAATTGTGGACATCTTGCCGAAGCACAAACATTGAAGGTTTTATCATCGACCCTCTGAACGAACCGCAAGTATCTGAGGACAGTGATGATATGTTGTTTGATTAGTAAAAGCTTAAGGTTAACATATCCTTATCATGTTAACCAATAGCCTAGCCTATGCCTATATTTACTCAAATAGAAGAAAGCATAGGTCTAGGACCAGATCAAAAATCAAGATATCTAGATCTAGAAATCTAGATCTAGCTGGTAATTCCTATACAACTATGAATTATGAAGAATAACACTAAAAACCAAAGAATAGGAAATAATTCCAAAAATAAAATATCTTAAAAGTAAAAGTAAAAGCTTGCACACTGCACTCATTAACCATAGTCTAGATATCTATCTAGATTATTAGATCTAGATCTAATCTAGAATCTAGATCTAGATTCTAGATCTAGAATCTAGATTCTAATCAAGCAGAAGTGGGACACCACCTTCTTTATTCAGGTAAAATGAAAGCCTTTTACACATCATCCAGCCTAGATCTAGTCTTTAGCTTTCAAAACTGGTTCGGTGACTAACCACTGGAATACTTCAACTCAACTGTGTCAGGCAGGCAACAATGAAAAATGAGTCACTTGACTTAACTTTCATTCAGTCTACTGAATCAGTTCTTACAATAGATACAACAGTCAACAATTACAAAGTGAACACCTCAGTCTTGAACAATTTTAGGACTCTACCAAGGGAGTGGCCAACAATACAAGAATCAACTTCAATTTATTTGAATTGAATGAATTGCTTAGGCCATCAAGCAAGTATGGGCAGACCTGACAACCCAGACACTCAGTTCACCCTGGTCTAGAAATGGAAAACAAAGGCTCTTGATTTTGATTCAAATTCCAGACCTGCCCACAGAATAAAGCCTTGGACTCCAGATCTTGCTAAATTCACACAAAAATGAACAAACTGAATAAAGCAAATAACGTGTTTGGTCCCTTTCCCTTGCCACTTCATCGACACAACACATTCTTGTCCGTGCTAGTCTAAATTTTCAACATTTTTTGTACCGAACTTTCATTTTCGGTCCCCTCGTCATCGTCAAGACCTGATAACTAGACTATCATTCTCTGCTGATGCAATAATAATAACAGGACATTGTTCGTAATAGCAGGCACAACATCAAAGATTGAAGATTTTTAACATTAATAAAAGGCTGTCGCTACATTGCGCAAACGGTTTTCTGACGAAAGGATGGTGGTAAGACCGTTCATTGCCATGGCATTAGATCGCACTCGCGAGAACGAAGAAATCTAAAATCAAATTGCGACCAAACAAAGGCAAACAGCTTAAACAGCAGGGAATAAAACCTTGCAATGATTTTAAAATGCATCGAAAGAAGCACATAACCCAACCTAGAGGTGAAAAATGCACAAATTTGGGACACAAGATAATCTTTTGTTTCAAATCATGGGACTAGGCTGACGCAAAAAGCATCGAGTTCATCGAAGGTTTCTGTGTCCAGAACAAAGATCGACTACCCTTGACATACATAGAAAAAAATGCAAAACCAAGAATGGAATTTTATACTCACGCAGGCCCGTTCGCTTGGGTATAAAATTTCCAACAAATTTAGAGTATAATGTCAAATAATTCTACACGGATGGTGAAGATATTTACAGATTTAGAATGGCTCTTCGCCGGTTACTTAGTGCTACCAAAATGGCGAGCACGATAAATGAATATGCAAATGCTTTGAATGACGTCATGATCCCAGCATGCTTTGCTCGTTGATACAACCGGTAGGCTAGGCTAGCCTTGGCTGAGAGGAAGTCTACTTTCGGTTTTGTTCTGAGGACAGGACATTTCCTCACTGAACCGTTATAAAAGCAACAAGCATATCGTGTTTTTACCCCCTAAAAAACATACAAACAAACAAACTATTTATACGTGACGCTATACAACTTTTAAAATTAGATAAAATATAAAATGTCTTTATAGTTAATGTTTTAAAAGGACAAGGGTGGAACAAAGATGGGCCTAAAATTACATGTACTTCTGAAAAGAGGGCCCTCCTGTCCGAATGGACTCGATCATTCACGTTAAAAAAAGGATGCAAATTTTTAAAGCAAAATTTTGATACTTTCTCAATTGCCCTAACACGTTTCTTCAGTGTGCGTATGTGTGTTGTTGTTTTGTTTATTTTTTATTTTTCCTAATTAAAATTCTTCTTCTTCTTCTATCCCGTGGTTGGGGCAACCGTAGGGGCACCACTGTATCTGAAAACCAGCTCTCGCCATCTGTTTTTGTCCTCTGCTTTCCTCAAATTGTCACCCATCGTCTTTCCTGTCCACTATGTAATATTGTCATCCCATCTCCTTCTCTGCCTTCCTCTCTTTCTCTTTCCTTGTCGAAATCTTTGATATGTAAAGAAAGGAAAATCGAAGAGATGTCAGAGGGAATGAAAGGGGGGGGGGGGGTAGGTGAGCTGCAAGGGAAATTATGGGGTGGGGGGTCCTTTTTTCTGCGGCTTCTTTTCTTCTTCACATAAATTCTGATTAACTGAAAAAGCGGGGGAAATGCAAAAATTCGTTTTGGTTTGTGATATGAGAAAGAAAGGTCACAAAACGAGAGAAAGGGGGAAATAGAGAAGAGGGAGAGGGGGTGATTGAGCGGGTCGATAGGTGAGCGGGAGAAGAGAGCAAGAGAGAAAGAGAGAGCAAGAGAGAGAGAGTCCGCCGCCGCCCGCTCCGCATCACAGAATAGAGAGAGAGAGAGAGAGAGAGAGAGAGAGAGAGAGAGAGAGAGAGAGAGAGAAGCAGAAACGATCCTGTCTCCTCGGCGGTCACCTGTGAAATATTAAAGTTTGATCAGAATTTTTATTGCAGCCAGTGCAGCCACACGCGCATCAAAAATTATTTGATGACTCGTCAAACAAGCAAGACTAGATGAAAAAAACGCTACTTTGGAAAGACAAGCAGAGCAGTTTTCAAACATGACTGTGCGCTTCTCCCTCCGATACCAAGGCTAACATTGACTCCACACTCAATGGAACATCACAGCAATTGCGGTAAACACGCACTCAGAAAGACGTGAGTCAATTAGCTGTTGCTTGATCGACAACAACAACCATCTTACAAGGATAAATACCCCCACCTCCACTACCCCTCCACCTCCACCCCTCGGTATATATTAACTCACACCATAAAAAAAGTCAAGGAACAGAAATTCAGAAAAACAGATTAACCGAATTTATTCGTATTTTTTTAAAGAAAGATGCCTTCGACTCTCTAGATTATGTGTATTGTACAATTTCGCATTTCAACTACGAGAAGTTCGTGTAAAAGGTGTTTAAATCACACTGGTCGGATTTCAATCCAAAGTCTGAAAAGTCTGAACAGTCACAGTTCTTCACGAACATTGTCAATGGTGGGTGAAGGCACCCCGTTTGATCAAACACTCTCAAACACTCGGTACAGCGTCGACGCATGGACAGTACATGCCTTCGAAGAACTTGTTGCGGTAGGTAAATTCTGCCACTCTTGGACGAGGCTGCAAATTTTGCACAGAAGGGTAGTTGTCCCTTATCCGCCTGTCAATATGATCCCAAACGCTCTCTATTGGGTTCAGATCCAGACTACAAGCTGGCCAGTCCAGGAGGGTGACACCTCGCTTCTGCAGGAAGTCCTGCAGGAAGTCCCCCACGATAGGTGCACGATTGTCGTCCTGCAGAGCAGCCTGGGGGTCCAATCGGATGCAGGAGAGGAACGGCAAGGGGACGCAGGATTTCGTTCCTGTACCTTGTCATGGTCACAGGGGGGTCTAGTGGAGAGCTGAGAAGCCTCCCCACACCATAACGGACCCTCCACCGTAGGACGCCACCTGCTGGATGCAGTCAGGGTGGAACCGCTCTCCTCGGCGCCTTCAGACGTGAGCTCGCCTGTCTGGGTGCAGCAGGTTGAACCGTGATTCGTCCGAGAAGACTACCTGGTCCCCCTAACATCATGTCCACTGTGAATGGCGAGCAGACCACCCCCAGAGAGCTGCTTTGTGGGGGGCGTGTGCCTTGGGCGCCTGGCAGGGACACGAGAAGGGGACCTGGGTCTACGGAGACGGTTTCTCACCGTCTTCTCGCTGACGTAGACATTGACAGTAACCCGTTGTTGGCCCCTGGTGCGGTTTGCAGTGGTGGTTCGTGACGTCACGGCATGTTTGACAATGAACCGGTCGATCCTGTTGTTGGTCAAACGGGGCCTCCCTGGTCGAGGCCTGTCCTGGACCCTTCCGGTCGCTCACCATCGTTTTTGCTGCAGCCTCCATATGACTGACGGGGACATCCCAAGTCGACGTTTAACAACTCGGAACGTTTAGCCATCTTGGAGCCAGGAATGGGCTCGTCCTCTGTCGACATCAGGCAGCACACTTCGTTTTTACCATCGTGTCGCAATGAAACATGCCTGAAAAATGCTAACTTATAAAGGGTTGCAAGTGAGCGATATTCACAGCCAAGACATCTGTTTAGCATTGTCAGTTTTAGCCACCAGTCCCTATGCCAAAGATACAGAGGCAGAGAAATTTAGCCCATTTTTCATGATTTTTTGCTGTGTTTCGACAAGCCCTGTGCCGTCGTTGTGAAGCTCGCGCGGGCAAATTTGCCGTACAGGCAAACTGTCTAGTCGTGCGCGTGCCAAGTTTGGTTGACTGAGCTTAAACGGGTTTGTGAGATATTGAAGTTTAAATTTGACAGGTGAAAACACAAGTTGTCCCATGACTATTTTGTTTACTTCCCTGAAGAGTGAGTCTATCAAATTCCTTTGTCCGAGAATTTGAAGTTGACGTGTAATGACCCTCCCAGCCTTCACGGTCGCAATCAGTTGCCGTTCCACAATCTATACCCAGGCCTGTCGATATCTTAACGTTGTCCACCCATGTTACTCTTCTGCTCCATATATATTTCCTTCAAGCACCTATTACAATCTTCTGGTGTTTTAAGGGACCAAAAGTATTATTATTATTATTAAAGATTGACGGACAGGAATTCTCCGAGTATGAGGTAGGCCGATGCTGTTGCTTTTTGTGTTATGAAGAAAAAGAATAATTTGCACTCACCGGGGATAAGAATGTTATGGCCTAGTAAAATATTGAGCAGCAACGGAGATGTGTAGAGAGAATGTAAAAGTTGATCATCATCATAATCATCATTTTCATCCAGTCAACAGAGACTCTCAACTTTTACATTCTCTCTAATGTCTAAACATCTCGGTTGGTTCTGTACAAGCGAGAGAGAAACCTGCCTCTCAAGATATCGGATGAAATTAGCTGCGGACGCGGATGCACGAAAAGACTGACCCATTCTCTTCGTCTTTGTCTCCCCAATCTGTCTGTCTGTCAGTCTGTCTGTCCCCCGTCTCGAATAATATATTCGTATTTCTGTCCCTCTAGACATCATGGTCTGGGACAGGTAGGTATCATCATCATCATCATCATCATCATCATCATCATCATCATCATCATCATCATTATCATCATCATCATCATAAAAGTAATCATAATAATTGTATTTATATAGTACACACTCACGCTCTACAGCATGGTCTGTGCACTTTACAACAAGGCCTAGGCTAGGGCCTATATATATAGGCAATTCTCCTGAAAGCTTGAACTTTCCGTAACACGGGTATCAAATTTTAGAATTCAACCAAATAACTTGAAAATGTACTCAGTATACCTTGGACATGTCTAGTTTTGATCCCTACACGGCTGAAGCTAAAGCTTGTTTGGTTTCTTTGAAAACGGAAGTGAAGTTTAGACTAGTGGGCTATAGTCTTAAACGTTACAGGACACAACAATACCGGCCAAAACATGAAATGTAAGAGAGGGAAAGAAAAAATTGCTTGGGGTAGCATTATGTCCTTTAAATTCATTGTTTGTTCCCACAAATTTCAAAACATTTCTTAAAGAAGAAAATCCTTATCAAACAATCATAATGTCTTTAACGTTACCAGGCAAAAATTATTTTTCAAATAGAAAACTAGACTTTTATTTCCAAAAATACTAATACAAGTAGAACTTTTAAAAAGTATTGCTATAAAACGGGTAATTCAATGCTGTAGTTTCAGCAGATATGAACAAAATCGATAAGTGTTTTCGGCAGCAACAATAGCTAAATATAGTAGTCTTAAACGTTACAGGACAAAAGATAAAAAAGGAGTGTGCAAAAAGGGACGATTTGTTTCTTAAAAATAAAATGCACACCTTCTGAGAACTAAAACATGTATTATAATACCTCTTTGATGTTATCTGTCATGGTTTTAGAAGAAAAAGACATCAACTTATTGACTCATTGAGCATAGTATTGAGAATTAACATTATCGGAACAAAAATCGTGTGGCAGTTACAAAGTGAAACATGAAATCCAAACTGAACTGAAATTAATTTTCCCTATTGTCAAAGCAGCAGAAGTGGCAGTAGCAGCAGCAGCAGCAGCAGCAGCAGCAGCAGTAGTAGCAGCAGTAGTAGTAGTAGTAGTAGTAGTAGTAGTAGTAGTAGTAGTAGTAGTAGTAGTAGTAGTAGTAGTAGTAGTAGTAGTAGCAGCAGCAGGAGCAGCAGCAGGAGCAGCAGCAGCAGAAGCAGCAGGAGCAGCAGGAGCAGCAGCAGCAGCAGCAGCAGCAGCAGCAGCAGGAGCAGCAGGAGCAGGAGCAGCAGCAGCAGCAGCAGCGGCAGCAGCAGCAGCGGCGGCAGCAGCAGCGGCAGCAGCAGCAGCGGCAGCGCAGAATATTTTTTTAAAAATCCACATCTCCTTCATTATCGCTACTAACATTGTCAAAATACACCGTTAATCGTGCGCTCATATGACCTTAGCAGTTGCGAGCGCCGTAAAACCTTATACTATACTATACTATACTATACCGTTAATCGTGGCAGCAAACAGTGGTCTATCTATCTGTGATTTCTTGTGACATTATGATGATGTTCACTTCCCAAAATGTTTCCACGGCATGGTGATCAAAATGAAGATCATTTGGGACCACAACGATTTTTTGTGAGTTATGTAGCATCCCATTTGGCACACTGTTGATGAATAGTTCCTTGTCTGTAGCTCGAACAGGAAGATTGAAGCAAATTCATCACAGTATGGACCTCTACTTCTCTAACAGCTCTTTATGATTTCAAGAACACGTAACATTGCCATTGAGCATGAAATAAGTGTATGGAATATTTACTAGCTGCTTTTCAAAGTCCAACTGCACTCAGCAGGGATGAGGAATTTCAATATGTCTTTTTGCCGCGGTGTTGAGAAAGAGTTTTCTGACGTACATCTTCCAAAGTTTGCTTTCGAGCTGCTTTGATTTTTGGAAAGACTTTCATAATTCTGTGGACAGCTTTTTTGCATGCTGTGGGTGTCTGTTTGACATTTCTTTGAATATATTAAACCTACAGCTTTTTTTTTCTTCTCTGTGTCTTCACCATTTTCCCTTTTTAAAAATGGAACCTTTCTCTAGCCTTAGCATTGTCTGCCCTTTCCTTCTGCCCTGACCAGGATGCTGTTACCTCTCTTGTGTAGCTTTTCCATTTCTTTCTTTAGTACCATTAGCCCAGCAAAATTACGTGTTGCAACTTTGCTAGTGGTAGTGGTAGCCAATGTGAGGTTTTCTTTCTTGTTTTTCCTACATTTCTTGAGTTATTCGTCGGTCTTTGCCTTGTGATTTGCCACCTTCTTTCCCTAGACGAACGTCTTCAGCTCTTTACGATTGCACATCGATGTCACCCTTTGTTTCCTTTTATCGATCATGGGATTCCTTAGTCGGCTCAGTCTTAAACTTCATTGTAATAAACTTTGTGTATTTCTTTTTGGAATTTCGGTACATGAAAGCAATGCATTCAGAGATATCCAGCGCAGAGCACGCACATATGGTACTGTAAAGTTATAAAGAGAATGTGGGAGGGGGAGGAGTAAATGAAAAATTGTACCAATCAGTTTTGTAACTGAATTAAAAGAGATTTACTCGTGCTATACTTGGTCGAAAATAAGATGATGCTGCATTACTTTTTTGTATTATTTTATTAAAATAACTCGCAACAGAAAAAGTAGTCACAAATTCTGTAATAGAATGTATACGAATAAAGTGAATATAAAACGATGTTATTTGTTATTTATGTGGTCTAGCTAGTCTTATTATAGTCCAAGATGATAAAGCCTCTATGCCCTAAATACTATTGGGACAGCCTTTGTTACCAAAGCTTTGGTCAAAATGATTTAGTCCGTGTAACCATTAAGACCAATGTAAAAACGTATTTTTCCTCTTGTTAAAGCCAATATTAACTTTTGGTGAAAACTAATTACCAGTCGTACCAAGAACGGCCCGAAGCGAAGAGATGCAAGGAGAAATTGCGGCCAATGTACAATCGCTTTTATCGCTTGAAATGTACATGTGTGCACACGAGCATATTACTGACAGCATGCTGTACGCTTAGTAGATCTACACAATTTCAGTGATGATAACAAGAAGGAAAAAAAGGAAAGTTAGTGAAAAACTAATTGTCAAAACAAAACTGAAAAATAAAGCAAAGCACATAATGCATTTACTTTTATTCAAAGCAAGGCGTTATAGAATTGGCCTCTTTTCAATTAATTTGTAGACCATGATCTACCTATCCATCAATTCTCCATAAATTTTCCTTCTGAACACTTTTTCCATCTGTCTCTCATTCTTTCTTTCTCAATCGTCGAGATAGGCCTTAAGTTAATAGTCCTTCAGGTGAGTTTAACCAGAGAGGTTTAACCATGAACATTTCATGAAGACAGAAAGGGAATCACGACTCATCCAAATTGAATCAGCACATCTGCTTTGGTCGTCTGGTAAATTTCTCTTCAAGAGGTGAAATTCCCCAAACTAATGACGCATTTAAGTAATCGGGTTCGCCTACTCCTTTAAATTCTTTCTTTTCTCTTTAGAGTAACCACGTCGATCAGGAGAAACGGCGCCAATATTTTTCTGTTCATTTTCAACTGAAACAAAAACTGACATGGAAAATCCCATACAAAGTTACATCATTTGCATCGCCCTCTGCGCCTTGTTCCCTGTGTTTACGCCTCGTCTTGCACCATCAAGTCTACAGTGTGACATTACCCAGAATAGGACATATCAATATACTTTGCATTCCATTGACAGAATCTGTTTACGAAGTTAAATTACTGATGTTCGATCTTAGATATTTGAAACACCGAGCCAAGCAGCCTTATCCTTGTATTTGCAATGTTTCACACAACGATAACAACGATAACAAGTTGTCACCTTTAATTGCCCCAACTGCCAACCCCAAAGCTAGAAATATGTGGCATCAACACATGAAGTCCTTGAAATGAAATTCTTTAAGAAGCTACTCATTCTATAAAGATTATAACATGAAGACTAAGTCTAAATCGTTAAAAAATCAAGAAATCAAGCTCTTTGTCCAATTTCCGTTTCGATATAACAAACATTATGAAAACGAACAATTCTTGTTTTGGCAGGATCCAAACTCATCCTTTTTCTTGAGAGACTTTAAGATTTCATTAATGAATCACACATTTTGCAGTCATATAAAAAGGAAAACACATTTTAAAGCAATTCAAATCTTTATCATTACTTACATCTTAATCGTTACTCCGCTAAAATTGCGTGACGAAGTCATTCATATTCACTTTCTATAGACACCATTGTCTTGCCGGGGAATGGATGAAAGCCGAGTTGATTGGAAACCAGTGCACTTAACATAAAAACACAGCACTAAAATTTCGAGCTACTTCCGGCAGAAGTAAACACGCAGATCTTAATCGTTACAATGTGACAAAAATTCAATGACGCAACTATTTACCGCCAAAGTTTCGTAATCGGTGTAGTAATTTTGTTCTTGGTTGATGAAAAGACTAAAGTGATCACATTTCTAGTTCTACAATGAAAAATTACACTTTTTAAAAGATCGATTGAACAGGAGATAAGGTTACTATTTTTTACCATTTTTCGGACGAGCCGTGTAGCGTTTAAGACCTAATTTTATGTCCTTTGTATGAACAAATGGGCCGTATTAATTTTTAAGCATATATTTGTCGGTTACCCCGAACGTTCTACTTAAGATCAGTATTTACCCATAATTACGAAAATGAGATGCAGGTAGTTCTTAGAGAAACCTTCGAATGAAAACTGTCTCTAGTGAATGTTACGTTTTCATACCTAAAAAATGCTTATTTTTTAACAAAAAAGCCCCACGCTGTTTCAGCATATCATTTCATTGGATATTTTCTGCCTAGCCCAGGTTCGGCAACCTTTTCACCTCCGGCTTAGCTCATCTTAACTATGATTTGAAATAAAGAAAGATATGTATGGTCCCTGCAGTAAAGGATATGCGCAAGTTCAAGTTTTCAGGAGAATTCCCCATATACTTTTCCCAGCAGACCCTAGAACACTTAGATGCTTCCTCGGTTATCATAGGCCTAAACTGATATGGTGACCTTCAACACCCAAGGAGGGAGAGAATTTAGATCTTGCAAGGTGGTATTTAATATAGTTAATGAAAGAGTGTATGTCTTCTTATGCTCGACCTGACGTTGCGTCGCTCGAGGTCTTTGCCACTCCAAAATCAACCCGTCTCCCTTTACGCGACACGGGGCATCCAGCTGCACGCGACCGTCGCTAAAGATCGGTCAATGGAGCGACCGAAACCTCGTCGAGCACGAAAGACTGGGAGTGTGACAGCATCATTGGTCAAAATACCTAACCAATGCGTGGCGGTCGACATGCCGTGTGATTATTGTCACGCAAAAGGAAAGGCAGGTAAGCTCGCGACGCGCATAATACGGGGTGCCCACTACGACTGGATCGGGCCGATCGCCTGAAACTGAAAACAAACACGTTTTCTTCTGAGGCGATCGAGTCCGGCGATCGGCCCGATCGGCCGATCCCGTCCGTAGTGGGCACCCCGTATAAGGAGACTATAAATCTTGTCTTAGTTGTAATGAGCAACAAACGGAGCACTTAAAATAATTTGTGGTCTGTTGAGCCGATATCAACATCAAAATTTGGCTATTTTGATTTTCTTGCTTCTCTGACGGCTTTGCTTTATTAAATCTATGTTTCTCAAAATCCTTCCTGCCACATGCCAAGGCTTTACGCCACTATGACCGTGAGTAGCAAATAGATTTTGGGATTTTAGCTGGATTTTCTATAGATGACAGGAGATACAGTGTATAATATATTTAGCCTAAACAGCATTATTCATTAATATAATACCTGATGGCCCTCTATCATGTATTTCAACATAAAGTCATCTGGCCTGTGGGTTTCTACAATACTTCTGTTAGTGTAAATGAGTTAAGAATATTATATCAATGCGAAGTTATAGAACTATACTTGTATCCCTGTATCATAAAGTTTCAAATTCTAATAATTGCTTATAAAAATAACGAGTGTGTGTGTGTGTGTGTGTGTGTTGGCTGGAAGTTAGTGTCAGGGGTTACTGCGATGGCACTGTTCATCTAGCATATGAAATGATGAAAGTTGGATAAACTAACAAGAGTCTATCCTTTTCTTGGCAGAGGCTTGACGAGAACTATCACACTGAAAGTCTCTTTGTCTAACCCATGGTCTAACCTAATTCCGAATCATATAATAATTTTACCAAAGCTCTGAAACTGCGAATTATAAAAGCCACGACGATTAAATCAGAGTGCTGCCCCTTGTAGGAAGCACCAGAGTCTCTGGAAGCACGTTCTGTTGTTTACAGTTTACATATCACATATATCGCTTCTTTCGTTTGTGACGACGTGATAGACTGATGGACTGCCAGTTTCAGGATGTTTAGAATCTGAAAAAATAGAACTACTAGATATCTAGATCTAGTGGGTACCAAAAGTTTGTGAAATGGACGATTTTTCAGGTGAAATCTCACTGAACCTGGTCAGTGACGATGTCTCAAATTTCCCTTCAAGAAAAAAGATACATGGTGATCGGGTGAGGCCCAACTGCCAACTGAAATGAAATATACTTTAGTTAGATTAGATCTAGATCTAGATCTAGTCTAGATCTAGATATAAGATATCTAGATTTAGTACGAGATCTTCAATCAAGAATTAGAATCTAGATCTAGATCTAGATTTTAGATCTAGATTCTAGATATCTAGAATCTAGATCTAGAATCTAGAATTACTGTAACTGGTTTTGTTTTCCTTTTTACGGTTACGTGTGTTTCAAGGGTATAGAATCGGGTGAGATCCAGGACTAACTATTTTCTGGCTTGGCCTAGATCTAGATCTAGATCTAGACTCTAGATCTATTTGTTTACAAAATCTTATTGCGATTGACGATTTTGCAATTTCCAAATCAAATTTTTTGACACAATTACAAAATTCGTTCTCACCCCCCCACCCCCAAAAGTGGAACAAAGTAGCTATAAGTACTATAACTACAACAAGTGTTAGTCCAAGATCTAAGACCTTATTACATTGATTTTATGCATAGGCTATGACTAGAATCTAACATCTAGATTCTAGAGACTAGATGTAGTAGCCTATGATAGCCTCCTATGAGTACTCTACACGTAACACAGCTCTCACAATGGGCGGGGAATGAAATCGTAATTCCTTGTAGATTATGGGCACACTACTTCTGTTTGTCTAATAGTCAGTGCTTTTGTTTAGTAGAGTACTGATCTGGGAGGAATTCTGTAACGAGCGACCACTATGAAACAGAGTAGAATAGAGGGTTGGGGTTTGGGAAAGGGGAAATGTTTGTTGAGGTGGTTGCTCGTTACGGAAGTCCTTCCAATCTGGAAGATGGTGGGGGGGGGGGGGGGGGTATAATCATTCTTGACCTAATCTATAACAGAAGGTAACAGACCTGTTTGTTATGTGTATTCTGTAAAACCTGAAAGTGAATGAAATAAAAGTTAAATTTATTTTGTTGAAATCTAGGTCTATATTAGTAATGTTCAAAAAATTTCCCATGTGTCTTCTCACGTGCTATGTGTTTTTATTTTTTCAGGCATCTCGAGTAAAGCAGCGTAAAGAATCAAGACTTGATAGAGAAAAGAACCAAGGAGGTCATCTTTTGTCTTCTTCAGCCTCTGGCGATAACCGTGGAAACCTCAAGAGGAAACAGTTATCCAGCAATGATGATGGAAAGAATGATGGAATAGAGACATTCAAAAAGAGAAAAGGAGACAGTATCATATCCTCCCTTTTCAGAAAAAACCCAGAAATTCCAAACATCACTGGGTTTGTGCTGACTCTCTTTTTGACTGATAGAGTAAACATCACCTTCTTTTGAAATCTTTGGATGGGAAGCTCAAATTTTCTGTCTAGCACTTTCCCTACCACGAGCCGCATTTTGTGGCTCGCGGACCTTGCCTCGCTGGACCAAGAGCCGCAAAATACGGCTCGAGTGGCTTTCTATCAATCCAATAATGAAAAGACACAAATTTCTCGGATGATCCACGTTTTCAAAATGATAGAACAGACTTCCTGTTAGCAGATGCGTAAGAAAATATAGCACTGAGAGACGAATTTTAGTAATTTCAGCACTTTTTTTGTCCCCTTCAAAACGTAAACATGTGGGGAAAAAGCGCTACCCTGACTTCAGTATATGTCTCATATTTTCACTTCTTTATTAGGTACACATGACATAACATAACTTTCAGCATTTCATCGCATTACTTAAGGCTACCTACTTGGGAAGTTTGAATTATGCTGCTGTTGTACTTTTTAAGATATGACCTTTCAAAGCTGGAAAATTGTTGATTTCATATGACGCCTTCGATATTGCATAATCACTTTTAGAAACTCCAAAGTAATATAATTGGAATTCATCTTCAATATTGTATCACCATCTGATAGATTATTTTTTAACCTTCAGTTTGATGGGCCATAAGATATGGTTTGTGTGTGTTTAGTTGGATCTTTTGACATTATCCTTTGGCGGGGTAAAGGCGTAAAAATAGGTCAGGGAAAAGCCCTGGGCCAGTGGTGGATTTTGACCTGATAGGGAAAGAGCTAGGAGGTTTTGATGAGGGCAAGATCTAACTGTTAGCATTCAAAGCTGTAAAGTCATCTCTTTAGGGACAAATACCCATAAGGTATCAAGTTGCCTGTGAGGCAGGAAGCGATCACTTGAGCTAAGTACTGAGTACATGAATGGCTGCTGAGAAGCCATTTGGCTTCCAGCAATATGCAACAACTGTTTGTCTTAGCTTGGGTGTGTGTGTGTGCATATGTGTGTGCATATGTGGGTGTGTGTGTTTGTCTGAATGAGGATGTTTAAAAAACATGTACATGATGATGATGCTATGAATTTTCCTTTTGAGATCATTAGACTTTATGACATTTTGTCTGTTTTCAGCTCAGAGGTGGATGGACTCTCAGAAAAAGTTTTCACAGGGAAGACATTCAAGGATTTACCGATTCATCCATATCTGGTAGGTTCTGGGTGAAATTATAGTTTTATATGTGAGGCAGCGTGGTGAAATCAGACGCTCATAAAAAAAAAACAAAGTGAAGAAACTGGCATTTTTCCGCTGGTTCGTGAATTTTTATTGAATGTTTGATTTTTTGGCTCACTCAACATCTTTCATGCACATTAAAGGACACTTTTCTGTGTGGACTTCACTGGAAAACTTTGATCAAATGCACAAAAAATGTAAATTTTCAGTTTCCTTTGACTCTCAAGGAAAGGAAATAACTAATCTTTGGCGGTCATTTTTTCACTAATTTTATCTCTGAAATCAGGTGACCCCCACCTCCTTCGTTTGCAAATATCTTGACTTGTATTCAAGACAAATGGATATTTTTTTTTTCACCCAAAGCAAGACAAATGAACAAGTTTTAACCAATAACTCTACATGCCCAAAAAATGACGAGAGCCTGATTCTACCGCATCATGACACATATGATGTAAACTTTCTTCAAAGCGTTCATGTTCCTATGCTGTTGTGAGCGCCGTAAAACTTACCAAAATAAAAACAATAAAAGCAAATCCAGTATTGGGCTAAGGAAGTAAGGTTTTTTTCTGTTTGAAAAGAAAGGTTTGGATTCAAATCCTTTTTTGATGTGTTAGACCTGCTCTTTAACATCCTTTTGTGAAAGCTATAGCTTCTTCCCAATGCAAAAATAAAAAGTTACCTGGGACTTCTGTGTAACAGTTAAGCTCTTCATTATTGCAAAGAGAAGACAAGAGTTCCATTCTCTAAGTGGGGGGTAAGTTATCTAATATCTCCGTCCTCTCCGCGGGGATGTTGTGTCCTTCCCTCAGCCTTTGTCTGTCCTGAAGAACAGGGTAGGAGAAGCATGCCTCCTAAATAATAAAAATCCTGTCGATGGGAGTGTGAAAACTTACAATTATTTACTTAACCCTATCTGTACGTCGTGTTTTACTATCATATCCACACGACGTGAGGCACTCTGTGCCACCACTTTCCCGAGAAGAAATTTACTCGTTAATCCGATCCGTACGCTTTGCATAGCAGTCAATCAAAATGATTTTTTGAGAAATACTGAAAGTTTCAAAGAGATCTTTGCACTAGAAGTATTCTAAAATTTGAAGAATACAACCCTGGGGGTACAAAATGACCCCAGGGTGTACGGAAACGCCTAATAAATAAGACTCTAAACTCTGGCTGAATATTATCCCTTCGTGAAGTACGAAAATCATATGTTCATTTGTGCTCAGAAAAAGTTTGACTGCTACATCTGACATTTGATAGGTCACAGATTAGGTGAGCATGCATGGACGAAGAGTCATGAAAATTGATCAACATTTATATCATGGCCTTCATGGCCCTAATGAAGTCCCCACCTTTTTGCAATGGCCCAATATGATATTTTCTTTATTAATCATGTTTTCTTTGTGTATGATGTTTTTCCCTAGGAATTATATTTTCTTTAGTAAAGAATTATGTTTTCCTTATGATTGGTGTTTTCTATACGACTGAGATGTATGTTTTTATTTTGCCTTATGTTGCTTTTCTATTTAGGTGTCCAATCTAGAGGAGAAGCACGGTTTTCATGAGATGACAGAGATCCAGCGACGGGCCATTCCTGTTCTCCTGCGCAGAAAAGATGCTCTTATCAAGTCTCAGACCGGTTCTGGTAGGTGTTGTGAAGAATATGAGTTTTGTAGATACTTTTACTTCAAGGGAATTGATTTTTTAAATCAATTAGTTAATTGATTTTTTAAATCAATTAATTAATTGATTTTTTAAATCAATTAGTTTTATGGCCTCAAGATACCTCTTTTGCTCCAATATTTGGAGACTGGTATCTCTGTATACATAGCTGATATACTCTTTGCTGTCAAATGTCGAAGATGTGAGTTTTTGATTCCCAGTTCAGGATTTTTTTTTTGTTTTGGTTTATCTCTGTCTGTCTGCAGGAATGTTTAATCCCTATCAGCACAGGTTGGCCACGATGGGCAGGTTCTGGGTAGCCTGCTTCCTCACTTGGGGGTGGGGGAGGGGGGGAAGAAGGGCCAATATTAAATAATTACAGTAGCAATTACTGGAGGCTTCAGTGGCTAAGTGGTTGTCGGTGAGTTCAGGCCCACAATAAATAATGTCAAGATTATGTGTTTGACACAGCGTGTAGATTGGTGGTCACTGGGTGTGCCTTTGAACAAAATACGATAACCTAAAGCAACCGGAAATTTTGAGTGATGATATATTGGTTTCCTGCAGTGGTATGGTGTTAACATGTTGTGCATTATACTTTGTTTGATGGATGAATGGATGTATTGTACTTGGAATTGTAAACCGTTGTATCCCTACTTGGCTTAAAAAAATATTTCCATTAAAAAAATGTTCTTTTTCCCCCCACATGCTTGCCTGAAGGAGACTCCAATCACATATAAATTATTTACAATTTGTAGTAGAAACATACTTTCACTTTCAGTTTTCATCATATGATACTTTTGTAAGTTTTAGTCCATGTGAAGAGTTATGTCAACAGGGTACTTACAATACTCAATACTTCTTCTTTTTCATGTAGCAAAACTGAAACAGGCATTAGCAATTTTTGTTTGACGCTCATTTCTCTACTCGGATGCTCTCAAGAAATTTTATATATTTTATAGAGAGATGAATGCTCTTCAGTATATTTTTTTTCATATTTTCCACAGGCAAAACACTTTCTTACGCTGTTCCAATAATCCAGTCTTTGCAGTCGAGAAAAATCAGAGTTCAGCGGAATGATGGGCCATATGCTGTGGTGATAGTGCCTACAAGAGAGGTAATCTTAACCTCAGTTTTATTAACTAAGTCTTTCATCAGTGAGAATGATCTCTTTGATGTTTCCTTCCATCTTACGTTATGGTGTGATGAATCTTTTGTTTTTGTGTCTTTTACTCTTTTACATCTGTTGTAATCACATGGTTTTTTTGGTGGGTTTTTTTGTATATAAAAAAGTCTATTCCTTTATTGCTTCAGATGTGGGATTAGAGACGTTTTCAAAAGTTGTTATCATAACTCTGTTAGGTTCTTTTGATCTGTGTCTAAAAGGATGATCTATGTTGCCTTTTTAGGTTCATGGAAATATGCTGTTTATGTACACCTGTTAATCCTTGGGACCCATGTCTTTCTCTCATTGTAGTAGGTTGGTTGGAGAGCGCCACTTATAGGCTGTATACTTTCCTTCTCTCCCCTTGTTGTTTCTTTCTGTCTGCCTGTGTAGGTGTTTGGAGGGTACCACTAGTAGGTCCTACTGCTGTCCTTTCTCTCTGGTGTGTCTGCCTTTCTGCCTGCCTGTCTGTCTGTCTGTCTGTCTGAATTACTTTTCCCCTCTGTTTAGTGACCATTAATGTGTGAATGAGCTACGATTTACTAAAACAAAAGAAAAAAATAAACAATCAGCTTTACATTTTTCAAAAAAATTGTCTTTTATTTTCAGCTGGCACTTCAAAGCTATGATATATTTCTCAAGTTGCTGAGGGTGAGTGGATGAAATCAGTACAATAAATCATTTTCATCATTCATCATTGTTGTATGTTTAAATAATGAGGTATTCAGGAAAAGCAAAACACAGTTCTATTTTGTGAAGGACGTAATATTAATACAAAGTGTTTTATTGGGTTAAATCCATTACTGTTTCAAAAAGAGGAATGAGACAAGTTCCAGTCAATACGCCTCATCAAACTCTGCATCATATTTGATTTTCATTATTTGTAAATATTGACGAACTGTATTGTTCAGTGACGGTGACAAAATATATTGAAAAGAAGTCTGTGTGAGATTGTCACGGAAAAAAACCCAAACAAATTAGGACGAGACAAATGTAGTTCTTTGACACTTGAATCAAACTATAGGCCTTCCACATCTTACTTTCATGAGAAATATAAGCAAAAGAGGCAGAGATAGACCAAGAATAAATGAATTAGAGGGCTTGAACAGATATTTGATGGGATAAGATCAGGATATCACAAGTTTTTAAAAATTTGAATGGTGAACCGTCACTGCAACTTTGTTTTAAATTATACTTGAAGAAGAATCAATTTTGTCTATTTTATGGGGAAGCTACACCCAAAATAACCAAACATTGATCAGCTTAGATTACATCTTTTTTTTTTTATGTACACATTATCCCATTTTAGATTACTCTCAAGCTGTTTTATCCACTTCCAAACTCTGATGTGACAGTAGTGACTATGGTGTCTAATGTGACAGCAGTGACTATGGTGTCTAATGTGACAGCAGTGACTATGGTGTCTAATGTGACAGCAGTGACTATGGTGTCTAATGTGACAGTAGTGACTATGGTGTCTAATGTGACAGCAGTGACTATGGTGTCTAATATGACAGCAGTGACTATGGTGTCTAATGTGACAGCAGTGACTATGGTGTCTAATGTGACAGCAGTGACTATGGTGTCTAATGTGACAGCAGTGACTATGGTGTCTAATGTGACAGTAGTGACTATGGTGTCTAATGTGACAGCAGTGGCTATGGTGTCTAATGTGACAGTAGTGACTATGGTGTTTTAAGAATTGCGCTTGGCTTGTTTATGGTAACGCACTAATGTACAGTTGAGTCCGTTCAAACGGAAATCTGCAGCCTTTTGGATTCTCATTTGTTTAGCTGCATTTTTTTGTTTAGAGAGGCTGTTCAAATAGGAGAAAAAAAATCAGGGACTTTATTATTATTTTTAATGATTTACTGCTGATTTCAGATTGACTGTGTTTGGTTTAAGCTGACGTTTCTGAATTTACCTCATTCTATAATAAGTGCTTTCTTTGTTTCTCACAGACTTTCATATGGATTGTGCCTGGCTGTTTGATGGGGGGAGAGAAGAGAAAGGCAGAAAAATCGAGGTCTGTAAAGTTTTGATTAACATTGTTCTAGTTTGTAGTTTTTATATTTGATTTTACGTATGATTATCTTTTGGTCACTGTTCGAGGTTTTGCTTTTTAATTTTAATTTTATGTATGATTTTGTTTTTCATTTTTTTAGTTTTTAATTTTCATGTTGATTTTCTTTTGATTTTTCTGTCTACTGGTCGGAATGATCAATAGAGTTTGCCTGGTCTTTAAATATATTTTACTAAAAAATAGAAGAAAGAAAATGTCAAAACATACTTGTATGTTATTATGTAAATTAATAATGATAGGACTTCTTTGTATGAATTTAAGGATTGGACCTGTGTAAAAAATTAAAATCCTGTTAACAAATTAATAATTGTAAGCGAATTCACGTTTAACAAAAATCTTTAACTTTGACCTTTTCTTCAGGCCATTGAGAGTGCAATCTGATGCTTGAACTTTGACCTTTTCTTCAGGGCGTTGAGAGAGCAATCTGATGCTGGAACTGTGACCTTCATTTAGAGTGCAATCTGATGCTTGAACTTTGACAATCTGATGCTTGAACTTTGATCTTTTCTTCAGGCTGCGTAAAGGAGTGAACATTCTGGTGTCCACCCCAGGCCGTCTCCTTGACCACATCAACGCCACCAGTGTCCTGTCGCTGAGACGTGTCCAGTGGCTGGTCATTGATGAGGCTGACAGGTGAGGGGAAAAACGATGGTCATTGTAGGTGTTTATGGCCCCTATTGACACAATTTAACCCTTCCACCCCCAGCCATTTTTGTGCACTCCCTAACCCCAGTCCCAGCCATTACAGCAGTATTTCAGAACAAGAGGCATGCATTCTAAAAAGTGATGTAGTATCTTTGTAATGAGGTTTAGATAATAACATATAACAATGTTTAAAGGTAAATGAACAGATATTCTGAAAAATAAAGTTTAATTAGGTTTGCTAATTTCTAGGGTTGGAGTCTGCTTGATTAATCGAAGGCTTGCGAGCGGCGGACGGCTCGTGCCAGAGGCTTGCGAGCGGGCTTGAGTCTTGCCCTCTACCGGAGTTACTACTCGTGGACGGTGGACGGGCTTACTGATTTGTGTCGTGACGTCACAAACTCTTGTTTACTGAGCGCGCGATACTTCTGCCGGCGTGCCGCACGCTGACAAGCCCTAAAAAACCCTCACACTTCCAGCAATGGTGCTGTTTGGGGAGGGGAGGGGGTGGTATGGCTGGGAAAGCGAGAGGTGTTCGCCACCCTTCGCTTTCCGTAGAACCCGCCCCTCCCCTTACGCCTCCTGGTGTGACAGGGTTTTATTTGTCTTGGTTTTTTGTTTGTTTTTTGGTTCAGTTTTTTGTGGATTAAAAAAAATTTTTTTTTGGTGGGGGGGAAGGATTATGTTTTGCTTTATTGATTTTCTGGGCGTAATTCGACATCATAATTAATATTTGTATGATAGAACATGCACAATACATACATAATATCAGTAACAGTGCAGCAAGAAGTTTTTTTAAAAGTTATAGGCCTACAATGTAATTAACAATGTGATATAATTTACCTTAACAATGGTCTTCTGATAGGGAAGCAGACAAATCAAAAGTTGTTTACATTGTTCAGAAACCAAATCACGATTGTCATCCCCTCCCCAATGCTTTCTCTTCAACTTCAACTTGTTCTAAGTGTCGGGGTGGGAGTGGAAGTGTAGTTTAGGCGAGTGATTAAATTACAAGCCACGGGATGCTAACCATACTGATTTTTTTTGTCAGTTAAAAATTGTTTGTAACTGTTCACACCTTTATTCTGCGTCCAAAATAGTTTAGCATACCACGACCCCAGTGCTTTCTTGTCGTATCTCCATTTTCAGTACCAGTGAAAACCGCTCATAACAAAATGTGAGCCTACGAAGATGTCACATTTTCACTGTTAAAGCACCGAGGTCGCGAACGGTCTGCACTAGTCTATTACAGCCCTCTTCGCCTTGCACCAAAACCAGCGCAGCCTCTCGCTTCCTCCACGTCCAGAGTTCAAAGTTCACACCGCGAGCGGGGTGGATTACCGGTAGATCTTGCGGCTCGGTGCAGACTGACGAGTGGTGTTGTTTTGCCAGGGCGGTAGTTGGACTCAAAGCAGATTTATTGACACGAGAACAAGCCCTTAGCACAAAGCAATACGAGACGCAAAGCAGGTCTTGGGACCAAGTTCTTTGCTCTGCTGCGATTTGAGTCTTGCCTGCCATCCGCTGCTCGTATGCCTTCGATTAATCGAACAGACTAGTTTGTGGCGCAGTGACGCTGTGCGCGGGGTCTCTCTCTCTCCCCCTCTCTCTCTTTCTGACGTTAGTGGTTTCGCGGATTGCAAGCAGGGAGGGGAAGGAAGAGGGGGTCAGACACGAGTGGCTTCGCGGATTGCAAGTTGGTGTGGGTACTTGAAGCTGAGGCTAGACTCAACGTATCATGCTGGTGATTTGATTTGATGATTTGACCTAGTGATTTGAGGCTTGTGAGGCTACCGGGGTACAGCCCTACTAATTAAAAAAAAAAAGTGCACAAATTCAGTACCCCCTGAAACCGAGAATATACCATATTGGGACAAGCGCTTCTGAAAATATACGTGCATGGGGCTGGAAGGGTAAAGACGGGGGGGGGATGTATCCACCCTGCCTGTCAGAGCCAACCTGGGTTCAGAGAGGTAAAACATCCCAACTGACAGATGGAGGCACCCGATAAAAAAACTGTAACATCTTCCCCTCTCTGTTCTCGTGCTCATGTGTTCAGCATGTCGCGACCTCAGTGCTTTCTTGTCATACCTCCATAATTTTTTTTTAAACGGTGAAAATGTGACACCTTCTTAAGCTCATTCTTTGTTATGAGCTTTCTTATCGCATCTCCATTTTTTTAAACAGTGAAAAAGTGACATCTTCTTAAGCTCACTCTTTGTTATGAACTGTTTTCACTGTTATTAAAAATGGAGATACGGCAAGAAAGCACTGGGGTCGCGATGTGATGGTGGCGAAGAGCCTACTACTACAGCACCGACTTTTGTGTTGCCTTCTTCAATGTTTTTAATTATGTATATTTATTTTTATTTGATTATAAATTTGTATTGTTTATGAGTTTGTTTTTGTTTTTGTTTTATTATTTTGTTGTGTGTTCATTATAAATTTGCGCTGTATATATATAATTTTGTATAGTTGCTGATTCTGTATTGCTGATTACTGTGTTTTATTTATTATGATTGTGAACGTTGTATTTCCTCAGGTTGTTGGAGCTGGGCTACGAGAGGGACATTGCTCAGATTCTCAACGCGCTGAAAGCTCAGTGTCCTGACCCCCCACAGACTGTTCTGCTTTCCGCTACTCTGTCAGAAGGTGACCAAAAAAACAACTCCATTTAATTTAGGTCATAGGTTATTGGGGTCATGGGTTTTTGAAGTTATAAGTTATTAAGGTCATAGGTTATAGAGGTAAAAGGTTAAAGCCGTTAAAGTTTAATCAGGTCGTAAGTTATTCCGATCTTTGGTTATTGAGGTTGAAAGTTAATCAGGTCATAGGTAATTGAGGTCATAGGTTATTCAGGTCATAAGCTATTGAGGTCGTAGGTTATTCAGGTCATAAGCTATTGAGGTCACAGGTTATTCAGGTTGTATGTTATTGAGGTCACAGATTATTGGATAGCCACTGTCTTGACGAAGGCCTCTCATGAGCTTAGTGGTAAAGACACCTGGAACCGTGTTTGCATGTGAACTCATTGTGACTGTGCAACAAATTTTTTTTCTCCATGATTTACATGCCGAAGTGCATACCTGTCCTAAATATAGAAATTTCATGGTTTGGATAGGCCTTGCATGCAGCTGGATAGTTGGACATCCTGGCTCTCTCTCTCAATGGAGCGCTGTCAAAGAGGATTGGTCGACTGTTTTGTGATTTTCCATTGGTTTGATTCATGTGTGTCAGTTGTTGACGGGTGCTCTGGTGTGGTTTGCTTCTTTTTTCCTATCAAACATCTATCGGATTGTCTTTAGCCCCCTCCTTCTTTTTTGGGTTTGTTACTCTCTTGTAACACTTCTAATCTTCGGCGCTTATATGACCTTATTGTGTTGCAAGTGCCGTAAAACTCTTACTAAAACTAAGATCAAGCATGCTGCAAAGTTCAAAATGGGGGGTAATACTTTATGTTGACCCTTGGTTTTAAGGCGGAGACCACCGTACCTTTTGTGTAACCATGACTTTTTACGTTCATTCGTGACAGAGCTTGTCATGTTTTTGTCAAGCAATTTTTTTACGTCCATGACATAGATGAAAGAGATATACGTTGTTGATTCTGCCTGTATCTATTAAACCCTGTGTCGCTTCACCTTGACTTTTATAACTGATTCTGTTGTTTTTATTGATTTATTTTTGTGGTGACATTTTTATAGCTTCACAGTTTTTGTGTGGTGTTGTACATGTTTTCTCTGTGTATGTGGGATGTAGCCGTCGACCTTTAGTTCGGGGGATATGGGGAAACTTGATGTTCACATGTGGGGAAGGCATGTATACATGTGTTCTTTGTGTGGATGGGAACCCACAAACACTAATTTGATAAGTCAATCGATTTTTGCTGTGGCTTGTATTGATTAACATTGAATCTTTTTTGTTTGTTGCTTGTTTTTTTTTTTTCAATATTAGGCTGATACAGATATGCAGTAACTTTATAACTTTTTTTTAGCAAAATATCTGTGGTAAATGAGTACATACTTTGTTCCTGTGTATTTTTTGTTCACCATCATATTTTCAGGTGCAAATTGCCACTCAATTGTAAGTAAAGCTAAGAAAAGCATGGTGAAAATCAGGCCTCTTATATAGTTACTGTCTTGCTTCATAAAATAGAGTCTGCCTATCTACCTTACTTCCAACCCCCCCCCCCCCTCCATTGCCGTTATTGTGTTGATGGGCTTCTTCGTTCCAGATGCTGTCTTACTGTCAAAGAAATAAACAAACAAACAGACAAACAAACAAACAAACAAACATCCAGTAGGTGGTTGATGGGTGCTCTGGTGTGGTTTGCTCCTTCTTTCCTATGAAACATCTATCGTCCTGATCTCTCCTCCTTCTTTTTTGTGTTTGTTTCTCTCTTGTAACACATCTATTCTTCGGCACTTATATGACCTTATTGTGTTGCAAGTGCCGTAAAGCTCTTATGAAAACAAACATCCAACATAACTGCCTGTTTCTCGCCAGGTGTCGAGAGGTTGTCCAGTATTTCTCTCAATGAGCCCGAGCGCGTCAGTGTGACCGATGCCCAGGCATCACGACAGTCCTTCCCCGCATCTGATGACACGACGTCATCATCAAGGGCTATAAATAGCGATGCGTCAGAGGAAGGAGGGGCCGAGGCGTTTGCCGTACCGTCGCGGCTGAGCCAGCATTTTGTGGTGACGCCTTGTAAGCTGAGGCTGGTAACGCTGGCCTCGCTTATACTGTGGAAGTGTCAGGTGAGTCGGGGGGGGGGGGGGGAGAGCGTATCACTTTATTTGAATTACTGTTTTACTTTCCCCAATTCACCAAGGCCAGCTGCAAAATGATCTGAATTGTGTAAATTACAATCATTGCCATGTTTCTATTACTGTTTTTCTTTCTTCCAGTTCACCAAGGCCTGCAGCAAAATGATCTAAATTGTGTTGATTGAGGTGTAAAACACTTAGAATTACCATGTTTCAGTTACCTTTTTACTCCCTTCAGTTCACCAAGGCCAGCAGCAAAATTATCTAAATTGTGTTGATTGGGGTGTAAAACACTTAGAATTACCATGTTTCAATTACCTTTTTACTTTCTTCAGTTCACCAAGCCCGGCAGCAAAATGGTTGTGTTCCTGTCCACACAAGACTCCGTGGAGTTCCACTCTCGGCTGTTTTCCTCCGTCCTCGCCTCGTCTCCGAAAGACACGGTGGGCAAACTGCAAGCCATGGCGATGGGAGAGGTGGAGGACGTGGGCGACAGTGATGATGATGATGATGATGATGACAGTGAGGTGGATGGTGATGAAAAGAAAAAGAAGAGCAGCAAGGGAAAGTTGAAGATTTTCCAGCTTCATGGAGAGATGTCCCAGAAGGTGAGGAGGAAAAATTTTGTTGTTGTTTTGTGGTTAAAAGAAAAAAGTCCTCCATTTGGAACTTTCTTGACTTACTACAGGCATCTGGGGTCTCCACCGCCCTTGGGGTCACATTTGTATTGCTGTGCAATGACGTTGTTGCCCAGGACAGGTAATACAGGTAATTGTATTGCTGTGACATTATGCAAGAAAGATGCTTTTTAAGTTGTTTTAAGAACGGGGGGGGGGGGGGGGGGTCAAGTTAACTTTTCGTGTTTTATGGTACTTTGGTTGCTTTAAAAAACCCAAAAAACCTCAATTCCTTAATGACTATTTGAAGAGGGGATGGATAATCACTGCATGTTCTCGTCCTTGATGAGAAACGAAATTAATCGTCACTGCCCTAACACTAGGGCCTATGTTGTTTTTTGTTATTTTGAGAAACCCCCCCCAAAAACTGTACTTACCTTTATTGATTTAAATTTTGTTGATGGTGGTGTAAAACACCTCCAATTAGCATACTAGTGCTTACTTCAGTCAAAGATCATGTATAACATGACAGTTCACTTCTCTCTTTGAGCCAATTAAAAAAGTGTCCTCAAAATTTGGTGGCGCCCTTTTCGAAAAAGCGCAAACTTTGCGAACAGAGTTATCCTACTTCTGTGAAAAACAATAAAAGTGAAACTAACAAACTGTGCTATTCCTATTCTTCTTCTGGAGAAACAAAAGAGAGCTTGAAAACAAAGACTGCAGCGCCATCTGAAGCAATGCGCGGACTTCCGCAGACATTTTTTTGGATGAGTAAACATTCTTGTTCTGTAGACTACGATCTTTGCTTTACTTTAGTCAAGCATCTAACTTGAGTAAGATTGAAAATGTTGAACTAGTTTGAAAAGTTTGTACACGAAACAAAAACCAGATGTACTGAAGGTATGAAAAAGTGACGTATACTATTTTTCCCATGGCAATAACTGTAAACGTAGAAATAAATGACTGGGATAATTGTGGTAAGATCGTGACACAATATTGTATTTTAGAAGTTGTGAATGAGAAGTGATACTGTTTGATGAATAAGTAAAAGATTGTTGATTTAAATCCTGGCTCTGACCATTTTCATTATTATTAATATATTATGAAACACTGGGTCCCGTTTTTTTTTCTCTTCAGTCTTTGACTATTTTGCTCTTTCCCTGCACTGTATGACTGTTATTGTGTTGATGTGATTCTCTTTACTCAGAACTCAGAGTAACTGTTGTCGGTATGATGTCGATCTATAAAGGGAAGGGCCCAGTCTGGGTGTTCTTGAAAGTGGGTTGTTTTATACATTTTCAAGGCTGTCTCACATTTAGCTCGGTCCTATCAGATGTAGGTGTTAAATTTGGAGCTCCTGCTTTTTAACCCTATCCGTACGCCTGGGGTCCGTTTGTTCCCTAGGGGTTGTATTCTTTACATTTTCTAATACTGCTAGTGCAAAGATCTCTTTGAAACTTTCAGTATTTCTCAAAAAATCATTTTGACTGCTATACAAAGCGTACGGATAGGCAGAGCTGGTTGTAACGGAGTACAAGTACCCCGGTACTTGTACTTACGTTACAATGTTCGATACTTTTACTGTACTCCGGTACATTTTGAGAACCAGTACTTTTACTGTACTCCGATACTTTTTATAAAAGTACTTTTGAGTATTTTTCAAGTACATTTTGAGTACTTTTGAAGCTTAATGAAAGAATAAGTGCCGGCATTTCTGATCATAATTTACGGAACAAACACTCGGGCGGGCACCGCCGATCAACCAAGAGTTAAAAGTTGAGATTAAAGAACTGCCCGTCGCGTCAAAGATCAGCCACTCTCGTGAATGTGATCACATGCGTTGTAAAACTCATGAAACGGTACAATGATCCCCAGACGGGATCACACCGAGGTGTGAACTGACCGATGGGCGTTTCTTTTCCCCAAACATCACGCTCGCATCTGAGCTCGCCACCTGAACTTTCATCACTCGCTGGGTGGGTAGGGCCTACAAGTTCGCTTCAGGCAGGATCACATCGAACTGTGAACTCTTCCCTGACCATTGAAGTTGAAGGCAGTTTTTCTCTTTTCCCGAATTTGCGAGACAGCCTGAATTTTAATTGGTGTGGTCACAGCGTAATGGTACGTAACGACAAAGGCGGTGGGACTCAATCAGAGATGGATGGCTACAATTTTTGGACAGGTAAAGGGGAGGGGCAACTGGATAAACGTAGATAAAGATCTCGAGACGATATGCTAATGAGTGTACAGTATAATATTATGGCATGCCTGTGTACGGTATAATATTATGGCATGCCTCATGCCACCATGCTACTGTGATTGGTCATCAAGGTTGACCACTCTTTGCTTGCCATATGTCATAAACCTACCCAGGGATCACGTCAGTTCATGGGTCTCTGTAGATTCTTCCTTGGCTTCGTCGGCTAAGATCCCGTATTTCCCTTGCTCCCGAGCACTGGGATCTTAGGCGGAGACTACTGTAGTAGAGAATTTTTGGTTATACTACACTTACTAGACTCTAGGAAATTACATGTAGGCCTATTTTGGTTTGCCGTGGGCGCCGTGGACTACACAGTGTGACCAAACTCTGTCTTACCACTATTATAATCAATTGAAACTGAAACTGAGTTCTCAATGTATATCAATCTAACAAAGTTTTAGGCTACCTAAATTTCTTTTTTCCTTTTTTGTGGTTTGTGCTTAAGGCTACCTTGATTCCTTGAGGATTTGTTAATGAAGTATTCAATGCACTTTTTTTTTGCTGGCCATTTTCATCAATTTTATATTTCCTTGGAGCAACTTTGTCTCTACATTTTTCAATTTGGATACTTTTCCTTTTTTCCGACCTCTAGGACTGACTTACATTTGATCATATTGTCTTGCTCAAACAAATTCTATTCACAATATCACTTACTCACTAGTTGCGTCTGTTTGTTTGCTGTTTTTTTTTTCAATTTCAGGAACCATTTCCACCTACGTTCAGTGCGTATATTCAAATGCTTTGTATGCTGTTTACATTATTAGTAATAAATGGCCGAATTTGTCAAATATACTAGATATGTTATTCAATATGATGTTTTGCATTAGCACTGAAGTGTTTTAGCGTATTAGCAGAAAGTACTCAAAATGTATTCATAAGTACTTTTTAAAAAAGTACATTTTACAGGAAAGTACTTTTACTGTACTTAAGTACATATTTTAGATTGTACTTAAATTTGTACCTAAGTACCTTTTTAAAAGTACTTTAACAGCTCTGCGGATAGGATTAACAAGTAAATTTCCTTTTTGGAAAGTGGGGCCACAGGTGTTCCCCACGCCGTATGGATACGATTGTAAAACACGACGTACGGATAGGGTTAAACAGTGTAATAGTGTTGATAGTGATAAGTGAGCAGTGAATTCAGACTCAAGTAACGTCAAGCATGTGTCTGTGACACGGAGTTTAGATGGGTGGTCACTGGGGTGAGTCCTTGAGCAAGACGCGACAACCCTAGCTCAAAATACAGGGCGCTGCACAGTGGCGACCAGCAATGGCATGGTTGTTTTGTACTGGTGTAATATTGTGTATTTATAATGTATGTATTTGTTCATGTATTTATGTATATATGTATTCATAATTATTTATGTATGTATCATGTATGTATGTTTGCCATTGTAAACCAAATTTCCCTTCTGGGATCAATAAAAGTGTAATTTATTATTATTATTATTATTATTATTATTATTTATTAGGGGCATTGGACTCATACACTTACGTTAGAAACTGTTTTTCTGTTGTTTCAGGACCGTAGTCGCACGTTCTCCGAGTTCTCTCAGACCACAACAGGGGTTCTGCTGTGTACAGTAAGTTGGTGCCCCCCCCCCCCCCAACTGTTACCTGTCACCTCGTTACCTCAGAATTACAAAGTTCTATGTGATATTTTTGACCGTTTTGAGTGACTACGACCATGAGGTCAGAAACCAAATTATGTTCTACCTGCTCTATCAAAATCATGATATTATTCAGTCGTTGTCAAGATATTCAAGGAAATTTATTTTAAAAAAGCTTGACATGTTGCGAAAACTAACATTTTTTGCGCCAAATTTCTCAAAACTAAGTATTGAGCAAATAGAACTTATCCTCAGTCTCTGCCTTTATGTATTATTTCATGAAGTTGTAGACCGATGTTGGATTTTACATTTTCAATGTACAGCATTTACTACCCTTGTGGTGACTGATTACCAATGACTGTGGTTTAGCTGTTAAGATCTTTGACATTGCATGCAGAAGACGCGTTTGATTCCTGAATGGGGAGCTTTTTTAAAATCTAATATCTCTGTGTGTGTGCTGTGATGTTGTGTCTCTCACCGCTTGAGTTGGCCATGTCACGCAAGGTCGAAGCAGCCTGAACGACTGAATGATCTAAATTGTGTTGACAGGGACGTAAAAATATGTACAAATTTTTGGTTGACTGGTTACTTCATGATTTGGTAAAAGTAAAGGTTAGACCCTTGAGTTGGCCATGTCACGCAAGGTCGAAGAAGCTTGAACGACTAAATGATCTAAATTGTGTTGACAGGGACGTAATAATATCTACAAATTTTTGGTTGACTGGTTACTTCATGATTTGGTAAAAGTAAAGGTTAGACCCCCCCCAACCCAATGGGATTGCAGGTATGTCTTACAGGCTATAGGGAGGTTTCTATCGAGTACCTTTTTCTGTTAACTGAAATTTTTCTACCATCTTCTTAGAAACCATATTTTTTATTGCACTTCTCCTGTCCTTTGTGATTGTTCAGAAGTTCCAGCCATATCATATGGAAGGGCTGACCACACAAAAAGCCAAGAAAAAAAATGTCTCCACATTTCTTTTGACCTCTGTGTTGACCTCAGGATGTGGCAGCCCGCGGCCTTGACCTTCCACACGTGGACTGGATCGTGCAGTACACGTCCCCTGGTTCGACCGTGGACTACGTCCATCGCGTGGGCCGAACGGCCCGGGCTGGCACTCAGGGCCACTCACTCTTGTTCCTCATGCCCTCGGAGGCCGGCTACATACAAGAGCTGAACCGACACAAGATCAGGTATATTGTCGTCCCGCGTTGTGTTTTGCGTGTTTTGATTTTAAGACAATTTCTCATTTTTTTGTTGGTGGTTGGCAGGTGCTTTGGTGTGGTTTGCACCTTCTTTCCTATCAAACATCTATCGTCCTTATCTCCCCTCTCTTCTATTTCGTGTTTGTTACTCTCTTCTAACACCTCTAATCTTTGGCACTTATGTGACCTTATGGTGTTGCAAGTGCCATAAAACTCTAATTAAAACCAATTTTTTAACCTTCTCATTTGGTCCTTTTTAAGCACAAGGGGGCTGTCGCAAAATATGCTGCTTTGAGAAAATCAAAGGTAAAATTTTTGCCCCTTATTCAGTTTTATTTAAAGACAAAGAGAGTTTTCTCTAAAACCAAACAAATATAAACACCAGCGAAACCAAATTCTCCTAAAGGTAGGGCAATGCTCACTTTTGGTGTAGGTCAAGATTTCTGGAAACCACCGAAATCTGACTTAGCCTGCTTGTCCTTAAAAGCGACCATTTGTAATGATGATATAAGTCAAGATATTGGCGATTGAAGGAGGTTGAGTCGCCTAATTTCAGAGGTAAGATCAGCAAGAAAATGGCTGCCGAAGTTGAGTTATTTCCTCAGCTTGAGAGTCCGTGGAAACTGAAAATTAACATCTTTTATTCCTTTAATCAACGTTTTTCAGTAAAATCCACACAGAAATGTGTTTTTTAAAGGGCATGAAAGGTGTTGAGCCAAAAAACCAAAGTTCGATAAAAATTCCCAAACCTGCTGAAAAATGCCAATTTCTAGACTTTCATTACTTTGACGAGCGCTTGATTTCACCACGCTGCCTCACAATTGTTCTCACAGTCTGTCCCAGCTGCAGCCAGGCACCATCACACAACATCTCCTGAGTCACTTGGAGGAACTGCCCAGCCCGGATGCAGACACAAAAGTGAGCCACAATTTCTGGTAGAATCAATCACTCAGTTATTGCTTTCTGCTTGTCTACTTTTTTTTTTTTGAGTAAAGAGAAAAAGATTTGCACAATAACGGTCTTTCTGTGCTGGGAAAAACACCCCAAACAAACAATAAAACAGGCTGATAGAAACAACTGATGGAAAGAACAGCCATAGGACCTACTGATGGCAACCTCCAGCCAACCGCCCTAGCACAAACATAGTCTCTATCATATTCATAGATTTAAGGGGAAACTATTCAACAAAGAAGATTGAGGAAAAGACGAAGGAGAAAAAGAAAAAAATAGAAGAGGAGGAGGAGGAGGAGGAGGAGGA